AATATAAATTAATAATAGATAATACTTATATGATAGTATCTCTAGAAGATGCTTATTAATAAATAAATAAAGAAATATATAATTATAAATAAAATATATAAATATAGTAATATGTTAGCTAAATTAATAAATAAAAAAAAAGAAAAATTCTATTAAGAAAATTATTTATAATTAAAATAGCTCAAATATACTATGTAATTTTATGAAATAATTTTTGTAATATAATATTATGTGTGATATAGTATGTGATGCAATAATAATCTGCAAGAGAAAATATAATTTATTATAATAAAACTATTTATATTTAAAATATTTTGATTTATAATAGAGTAATATTATTAATATATTATTAAAATAGATTATTAAATTATATTTAAAACTTCATACTCTAAGTTTAATTAATTTTCAAAAAATAACTAATAAAGATATATATATAATTACTTTAGCATATTTAAAACTTGAATAGCTCTATCTTGAAAAATATAATATTATTGATATATTTATATTTGTATTAGTAAATTTATATAATTTTTAGAAATTTAATATTAAGAATTACATGAAAATTAGTATAAATATAATTATAATCTTACAAAATAAAAATTCTACTCTTGATATTATTAATTAATATTTAAATATAAATAGTAAATTAAATATAAATATTTAATTTATTATCATTTTCATTGATTTATTAAAGTAAAAATTATAAGATATATATTTTTGATATAAATACTTTATATCTATAAAATAATAATTAGTATTATTTAGCTTAATTAAAATAAAAGAAGAAAAAATATTTATATTTATATATAATATCAATAAGATATCTAACAAATCTTCAGAATAAATAAAGAATAATAAGTATTTATTCAACTGATCTTTTAGACTTCTTGTAACAGATAATTCTAATAGCAAAAAAATTAATATAATAATTAATCTTATACTAAATAATAAATTATAATGAATATTTAAAGATAAGAAAAAAAATTATTATATCAAAAATAATAATCTTATACTAATAGGTAAATATTTTGAATCAAAATAATAACTTATACAAAATAGCTTTCAGATCTTTGCAAATATATCTAAATTATATTAAAAAATATTATATTTAAAAGAATATCTTTAGATAAAATTCCAAATATAACTAAATTCTCTTTAAAATAAAGTATAATTATTATATTTAAGAATCTATATGCTAAATTGAAAAAAGTATAAGAATAAATTATTTCTTATTTTATTAGTAATTGATATCAAAATATCTTATCAATATATATAAGTCAAAAATATTAAGCTATATCTAAAATAATTTATAAAAATTTAAGCCATCTTGTAATTTTTAATAATAAAAAAAGTAAAAAAAATCTTATTTAAATTCTATATTAATTTATAGCTAATTTTAAAAAAGTATCTAATATTATTAATAAGTATTTATAAAATTAAAATTTTATAGTTTTTGATTTTACTAAGTCAATTGTAATCTTTTAAGTATACATCTTGATTAAGATATTTCTTTAAAATTGAATGAATAGAATATGATTTCAAGAATTAAAAAATATTTCTTCTTAATATCTCTAAAATTATTATTAAATCTCATATTAATATATATCTTTTAACTAAATATAAAAATAATAGAATTTTATTAATATGATGCTATTCTAATAATTATACATAAACTATTTCATTTACTAAAATAAAAAATTCTAAAATATAATATTTATATTATATAGATAAAATAAAATATATTCTTAAAAATATTAAAAAAATTATATTATCTAAATATAAAAAATATCTTTTAATTAAGTATAAAAATAATCAATTACTATTATTATGATATTATAAAGAAAACTATTTATGATAAGTATTTCTTGATAATATGAAAAGAAATAAGTGAAACCTATATTATGCAGATAATACTTATCTTACTCTTGAAGATATCAAGTAAATTACACTTAGTCAAAATGATAAATATCTTTTAATTATATATAAAAATTCTGATACTCTAATAAAATAAAAATACTATCAAGATCATATTTAAATTACTCTACTTATTAAAGTAAAAAATTCTGAAATATGATATTTATATTGTAGAGATAATATGAAATTAACTCTTAAGAATATAAAATAAATTGTATTATCTAGATATGAAAAATATCTTTCAATTAAGTATAAAAATATAAATGATCCACTTATTTGAAAATATTAATTCAATCATCAATAGCAAAATAAACTTAATTATATTAAAAATAAAGAATAATAATATTTTTTTTATATTGATTAACATTAATTAATAGAGAATATACATAGACTTGTGCAAATAAAAAATAGAGATTGTCTTTCAGATTAATATTATGATTTGCAAATAAAATTAAAATGAATTTATAAAAATAATTACAAATAAAAAGTTATTTCAAATATTATTTAATAAAAAACTTGATATTTATTTTATTATAAATATAAATATGAGCAATTATGTCAAGAAATTATGATAAAATATCTTGAATCATCATCAGAAAATTGCTAGTCTGATTTCTTAAGAATATCAGAGCATCTATTGGATTTGTAACTTGATATTTCCTATTATAATTATGATTTTGTAATAGAAGTTCAAGAGCAACATAAAAAATATCACAAATTCTTTTATAGAAATGATCCAAATAATTTTATCAAATAACAAGAGTGGAATCAACTCAAGAAAGAATTATGCAAAGAAAACTGAATTGTTTTAAGGTATATTTGGTATCATGAAGATCCATATATAATTATTCCAGAGCATCTTCGAGAATTGGATCTCATTGAATAGAATTAAATACATTTACAGTACAATTTATTTTTGTGCATTTTTATTTGTGTAGGCAATGTGTATATTGAGCTTAATATAAAAACCATATGGTTAGCCATCCACATTATGAAGCTAAATCACAAGATTAAAATTTGCGATTATAAATATAAGTGGATGCGAGCGTTAATTTTAGTAAAGTTATATATGGCAATGAGCTGTTAAGCAACTTCGAATTTATTCATTTTATTTACTATATGCAATATTAATTTGCATTTTAATATAAGTTGTCTAAGATATAAAAAGGATCTTGCTTTAGTTTTTGTTTTTTTGAAGGGGTCTCTGTTGTTTCGTGCAATGGTGATGAGGGTGGCGACGGTGTGGAAATTTTTTTTTGAGTAAATTTTCGAATCTTTGCAACCAGATCTATTTGTGTATGCTATATAAGAAATATAAAGATACGTAAACACCGATGATTTGACAGGAAAAATATATCGTATATAATTATACATACCCGTAATGCCAGAAGATTCTCCATAAAAGGTCTTCCATATCAGATAATGTTGTTGGTAATGTCAATGTTGCCATCTCAACAAAAAAATAAAAGTTTTTTGAACTATTATAAGTAAGAGAGTAGATAGTTCAATTTGTGCCTATACAACATAAGAAAAATTTAGGTGGTGAAAACTTAAACCACACTGAATAAATATGATGTATTTTTGTATACCCGTTATTTGAATGCCCATTGCGAAGACTTCTTAAGTTCATCTTTTCTAAAATGTAATTTACTCCAAAATGCGTCCAAACAATCTTTCATAACCACTTTGATCTTTGAATGATCCTCTCGAAATTTTGTATCATCCATAGAGCCTTCAGTGTTTCCCGCTTCAACTACTAGTAGCTCAACTTTGTAACTTCGCAATGATATAACCAAATCCATCTTTTTTGTTGGTGGATCTAAGTTTACATATTCTTCATGTACAAATTTTCGTTTTCGACAAGTAGCACTACGAGAGTCTTTCTCGATCCTAGAAAAAAATCAGTTATACCATTTAAAGTGGATATTATAGAAGAGTTATTGCAACGTAAAAAATCCATCACTTACCAGTTAAGTTCAAAAGTACCTATATCAAATTCTTCAAATATGAATCCAATAATTGGACTAAGGATCTTGACAATA